ATTGTATTCCTAACACTTACGAGAAATGGTATTTCCCGCACTTGTCAAAAAAATAACAATTTTTTTCCGTATTTGATATGAAAATTTTTTCCGCCCTGTAGGAGAACAAACGAGCTTCCAGTTCCACTCCAACCAAAAGGCAGTGCTTCAAAATACAAAATTTGTAGTTTCAATTTTATTCAATTTTCAATTTATTCAATCATAAGCAGTATAATCAAATTATGAAAGGTTATTATATTCTGTGTCCACTCAAAACTCAAAAGGCCGAGATAATAATAGGTTTGTTCCAACCTGCAATAATATTACTGTAATACAGGGTGTCCCAGCCGAGAGTGACCCATTTTAAATGCTTATAACTTTTGAACCAGGTGTGCTAGCTACCTGCGGTTTGTGCCAGTCGATTTCTCTTGGTCTAAAGTTTTTTTCAGTAGGTTGCAAATTTTTTTGAAACTTATACAGGGCGAGAAAAAAAAATCAGTTTTTCAACATCGAAATTCTCCACTATTTCTAATGGAACACCCTGTATGTCACAACGTCAAAAAAAAGATTCATGTTCTAGGTATCCATATACCTATGGACATTGTCCCTGAAGCTTGAAGTTTTAGCCGTAAAAAATCATAATCGAAATCTTGGTATTTTTGCAAACGCATATTTTCAAAACTTGGAACTTATGTTTGCCTAATAAAAAGTTCATAAAAACTGCATAAAACTATACAAAGTGCTTTATATGTTTATGTGAACCATTCTGTTCCAGGAATTTATGGATCAGTAAATGGTTGAATGAATTGTGTAACATTTCCTGGAGAATTGCTTCAATGATATTACAAATGTTCCGCTTGGATCTTCCAGGTTATTTAAGCAAAGTATTACCGCATCTTTCCTTAACCTAACCCCAGAGATAAAAGTCTAGAACTCTCAAGTCAGGTGAGTAAGGTGTTTATTCTATAGGCTCTCCTTGTTTGTCTTTCCCTAAGTGTCATATCTAGTGATTCCCTTGCTATTAAAGAATTTTGAGTTGGGGGCACAATCCTGCTGAAAATAGATATCATCAAAGATACCCTCCTGTCTTAACTGTGGGAAAAAGAGCATATCAGTGTATACAGTTTCTCTTATCGTTGGTTCATTAATGAAAATGGTCTGTATTTTTTCCCAATAGAGATTGTACACCAAACCGTTACTTACTATTGGAGTATCTCTATTCAATGAGTTCCAGAGAAAATACTCTGGAACTCGTTAAATTTTCTCAAAAAATTTATTTTAACTTAAATAAATCTATGTTGTATCATAGTGATATCAAGCATTGCATGCATTTGCAAAAATACGAAGATTTCTAAAACTTCAAGTTCCAGGGACGATGTCTATAGGTATATGGATACCTTGAACATAATTTTTTTTTTGACGTTGTGATATACGGCGTTCCATTAGAAATAGTGGAAAATTTCGATGTTGAAAAAGGGATTTTTTTTTTCTCGCCCTGTATAAATTTCGAAAAAATTTGCAATCTACTAAAAAAAACTTTGGGCCAAGAGAAATCGAATGGCACAAACCGCAGGTAGCTAGCACACCTGGTTCAAAAGTTATAAGCATGTAAAATGGGTCACTCTCGGCTGGGACACCCTCTATTATCGTCCGTAACCGCGCTAATGCGACTGCGCAATCAAAAACAGTAATATTATACTAAATAACTTAAAAACTTGGAACTTTTTTGAACTAGTAGTACTCACAACACAAGATGAAAATAACAAAATCAACATAATAACTTGCATACTTGCAGGTGAATCATCTTCCACCACAATAAAGAATTTTTCTAAACCTAATATAAGACAAAAATCAGATTTATTAACTCTGAGAACAAATAAAATAAAATTACTGAGCTTCTATAGCAGTCATTTTCAAATAAATAATTTAAATAAACAAAAAATTGAGGTTCTGGGTTATGTATTATGATTTATGTTCGTTGTTGTTCAACCCAATGAACTATAACCAAGACTGGAATGCCCACAGGATTGCCATATACGTCAAAATGTGAAGCCACCTTGTTAGACAAAGACGGATGTCGCAAAGGGGAATGTTGTTCTTTTCTGTTGCTCGCTGACATATGACGTTCCCAAGAAATTCATTATATTTGAGCTATTTTTTGGAGATTTTGTTGTGAAATTGGGAGATAATGTGCATAAAAACTATAGAAAATGGTTGTCTATTCTTGTGCCTATAGATGTACAAATGAAAGGACACCGGGGACTAAGCTACGGTTTCATAAGTAAGTATTTTTCCCCTTCATTCATATGTAGGTTAGAATCAAATCAATAATACAAGCATTTCTGCTCACATATTATTATTTGCCTACACCAAAAGGTAAAGATAGTCAAAATTGTTTTGTTGTTCATTGTTTAAGGTTTCCTTTGTCAAGGCCTGAAGTTTTGAGATTATGGATAAAAGCTGTTTGTTGGGAAAATTTCAAGCCGTCAGCTCATACAGTACTATGCAGTGACCATTTTAGGGAGAGCGATTATTTGGAATCATCATTACATAAAAAATTATTGGAAAAGGATGCTGTGCCTGGTAGCCGTATAAGGAGCATAGTAATTAATAAACTGGTGTTAATATTCAAGTAATAGAAACAAAACACTTCACATATAAGCTCCTGATTTTTGTCGGGGTTGGTGGTCTGGTGGATAACTTAGAGGATAATGTGAGGAAAAGAATAAAACATCTGAACATGGCCTAATTTGCGACAGGTACCTTAATTGTTTTTTTGGTAGTATTTGTCTCTATTACTGTCCATTACTTTTAGTCTTGAGAGCAACTTCGCAGAGACAACCATTGGTTGTCTTGGACAAGTTCAATAGCTAATTTGTATACCTACATTAAAATTAGATTAATTAAAAAGTAGATTATTGTAATTTGTACTGAATTGTAATAAAAATATTTTCAATCAAAACCGACTATTTTTTAAGTCCCGAAAACCCTCACCTCTTGCAAATGTAAAAATGTTAGCTTTATCCCATTGTTAAAAAAAAATCTTGCTAATGTTTCTTGAAATGAAAAATAAAATTAAGAAATCAATACTGTGTTTTTGGGCCGGTTTCTCAATAGCAATAAGTCACCCCCGGGTTAAGCATTTACTCCAGGGTAAATATTGCAACTGGAAACGTTTAACCTGGAGTTAAAACCAACCCAGAGGTGACTCGCTATTGAGAAACCGGCCCTTTAGAATGTATTTTCGATATCTAATAGTTTTTAGAAGCTTACCTGAAAGGAATACAAGTTTTTCTAATAATTAGGTATGCCATGCAAACAGAACCTCACATTTTTTTTTCTTAGCAACTAAAAGCATTGGTTTAATTTTCCCTTGAACTATTTAAACGTTATTTTATCTTTTTCCTATTAAATAAAAAACTAATTGCTCTTTTCTAAACCGAACAAAACAAAATTATTAAATTTTATCATTTACAATACGTTTTAAAATCAATTTCCGCCGTTTAACGTAATGAGTGCGACAAAGACGGGTATCCCCTCCGCAGCAGCGGCACTTGTTTAGCAATGTGGCGTCACGTCCGTTAATATGTATACTCGTTCCAGTCTAGGTTATAGTTCATTGGTTCAACCACTGACCCGTTTTCGACCTCACTACGCATGCGTCTAATTTTAGAACCAACAGTTCTTCCTTTCAAGCGAGAATCGTTTGAACCGTAATTTTACTATCCGTAACTCCGGTTGGAACGACGAAATGTCAATTATCGCCAATTCTAAATTAGTAATTTTAACTGGTTGGAACAGCATTTTACAATTGCGCATGTGTGCCAGTAATATTACTGGAAATTACTGCCGGTTGGAACAAACCTAATAATAAACAACTGTGGTGGCGTGGCGTGGCGCTGATTCCAGTCCAAACATGAAAATGCCAAAAATTGCAACGTCGCATATAAATTGTTTCGGGGCTACCACCAAGCTCTTGTCAAACATTGCACCTGAATTTGTGTTTAGGTGTGAAAGAACAATTTATCAGGGCCGAAAGTGAGTTCTCTAGGCCGAAAGTGACAGGAGAACAATCACTTTTGGCCTGCTTTAAAGTAAACAAAAGTAAATTGACATTTTCGAACCTCCAAACCAGTAAGGAATGTGAAAATTACATATATGGTTCAAAATAAAATTGTCACTTTACGGCCTGTAGAATTCACTTTCCCCCTTATAAATTGTTCCTTCAAACCTAAACACAAATCCAGGTGCAAAGTTTGTATTAAGAAATAGATGTCACATGTGTTTATATTGTTGAAATTTCATGTCGGTGTCAGATCGTTACTCAAAATTCCATTTTTGTCATGTTTTTACCTTATTTTTTTTTCAATAATTAATGGTTCAAAATAAAATAGTATACATATTTCGGTGGAAAGTTTTCACATTTATTGTCTCGAGAATTGGTTGACCTTGGTGCTTCGTACCTCGGTCAACCATAGTATGTCTCGACAATAATGAAACACTTTCCACTTCCGCATGTAATATACTATTTCTATAAGAGGCTCTCGTGAAAAATTTCCTACATTAAGAGCAAGAGATAATAAAATATTGATCACCCCGTATGTTCACACAGTGGTGGAATTGTTTTCGATTACCAGCTTTCATAAAAGATTTCCTGAGAATAATAAAATATTGATCACTCTGTATCTTTATACAGTGGGATGGGTGGTAGGACTACTGACAGAATACCGCCATCTTAAAACGAACATGCAGAAAATGAGAGACTACAATGGTCCAACGACGTTTAGATTGTAATGTGAAGAGAAGAAACTTGTCAGCAACTGCTAGATCTTAGATCTCATCAAAAAAACGGCACCTTAAACAACCAACCAACGACTACGGCTAAAAAAGCATAACTATGACGTTTGTCTATATGAAAAATATAAGTTAAACTATCGACTCTTTCTTGACGGATAGTTAAGTTGCGTGAGTTGACGACGGACACTGCATCTAATTTTTATTCGAGTCAAGCACGCGAAAAGCGAGTCGCAGATGCGAGATGCCCAAAAATAACAAGAAAAAGAAGCCCGTCAAGGGGGAAGGAGAGCTGGAATCGTGTCGCTCGTGCATTTTTATTTCCCTCTTCTGCCGGGAGAATGTTTTAAGAAGGAGCAAGGTATTAAGGAACCGGCCGACAAAGCTGAAAAGAATAATGATTCTTAATTTTCATTTCGTTCTTATACCCCGACGACGTGACCAGAAATTCAACGGTGTCACAGGGAATTTTTTCCCGTCTCAACTTTCGGCCATTTGTTTGGTGCGAATTCAATAATGTTGTACTGAACTTGTAACTTGTCAGCAGTATTATCGCTCAATGGATGTCAGTGAAGAATGCAATTTAAAAAAAGTTTAATGAAGAAAAATAATATAAATAGAAAAAAACTACAATGATTTTTCAAAATTCGTTAAAATAGCACCAGCAATCGTCACATAGCCATTGGTCGGCGTAATTTTCCGGGGAAAGAGTCACGCAATCAGAATGAAAAATAGCATCACAACTATCACAAATCAACGTAAATTCTGAATCAATGAATAGTCCGCAAGCCATACATAAAATAAGTTCCGCATCTGCATCTACAATACCAAAGTTTTTAACAAGAATCAGATAAAATTAAAAAGCTTACGAAGTACATTAGACACGGTTGATTTTATGGGCAATTCACTGGACACATGACCCTTGGAATCCAGAACCAGGATGGAAGAATACTCTTTTCGATCGACTGGACACAGTTTTTTAATTTTGGACCATTCTTCGAGGCACGTCAAACAAAACGTGTGATAGCTGCACGTATCAGTTATAGCCGAAATTTGATCAGTTAAAAGTTTCAAGCATATGGGACACTTTTCTTGAGTTTCAGCTAATTCTGACGATGAAACACCGTTTGTGTGACTTAAACGGGCCACTTTTCTCGAATCCGTTTCCGATTCCTCTTCTGATCCACTATCCAATGAACCAGAAGATCTTGATAGGGAAACTTGGGGCGACTTTGATCTGGAGACTTTTCTTTTTCGGCTGGGTGGACGATCATTCATAGTGGTGTTAGCTTATTTTGACACTAATATGACGGTTCATTTCAGGTGATCATTACTGGTTAACCTGAACTGATTCCAATGTGCTCTGATTCTCATTTTCACACTCACTCAGGACTGTTTTAATTATATAACAAAAATTGTTTCCATATATAGATTTCCTGCATGTCATATTTTGAATTATTAAATTAGCAATCATTGATCGAAATAATGGCAAATGGGGTCCCATTGACGAATAGTGGCGCCTCCCTGGCGTGTCACGTGAGCCCCCAATTACAAGACACATGTTTCTGTCCATTCAATGTTCATCGGGGACTTCGGTTTCGGTCTCCATGGAAACAGGAAACCGAAGTGGCACTGGAATTGTTAATTAATCGGCCGTCGGTGGTAATTAACCAAACTGACGTATTTTGCTGCGGCACATTTTATAGTAGGATGGAGGAAATCAAAGGTGATAGAATTGGAACAGGAGGAACTTATTTTGGAGCTGATATTCATTTTACAAATACTCATTGTTGGTTGAAGCGTAGGTTTTATATTGAGGGAAATTTTCTAGTAACTACCCCGTTGTCCCCGTTAGCTCAAGTTCTTGGGATTTTTCCAGTTTTAAAAGTTCCGCGATACTACTTTTCAGTTTTAACCGATTTATGTTTATACCCAAATTTAAAACGCTTCGCAATTAAAGGCTCGTTGTTTTTTTAATATTTTTGTTCGATGCGGAATTTTATACAGAATTGTAGCAGCGGTTCTTATTCCAGTAGAAGACTACAATCCCTGAAAATTTTAGCTTATTTGGATTTATAATTTGCCACGCTTTTTCGCCGATTAAAAAGTTTAGAAAGGAAAAAAAATAAATAAAAAAAAATAAAAATAAAAATAAAATTTAATAAAGAACTTGAGATTGTAGAACTGAAGGTCGAAGTGCGTGCAAATTATGCCCTAACTCAGAATTAAACAATTCGGAAAGTAGGGGTGGGTTTTAGTTTTGGGCGCCACCGACTCTGGACATCAGATAAGTCGGACGCTCCAGGATGTTATCTGGCTCCAGGTCCTTATAATTCAAATAATAATAAGGAAAAAGAAAAATATTTAAGAAAAGCTAAAACTATAAGGATATGTGCATAAAACCAAATAAAAGTCAATGAATCAAGTGCTATAGTAAGTTTAATAACCAAATGGCCACAGTCCAAAATGAATAATATATTGAGATATTAATTTAAAAAAATAATAATAATAATAATCAAGTAAATTTTCAATATTATCAAAGAGTGGAAAAAAACTATTTAAGAAAAAGGACAATCACTTGAGCTGTCATTAATTAATAAATAGAGTGACCTTTTGATGAAGGGTCGATCAACAAATACAGTACGGCTACTATTGGAATAATAGCTATAGTCATAAACAATTAAATTATATGTAAAAATCTAATGTGTTATTGTAACTCAATAACCAACTGAGTAATAAAAATGTATATATAAAATGTAAGGGTTGAAAATATAAAATAAAAGAAATAAGATAAACAATAAACAAATAATTAGTTATCGGAACGGTTATCTTACACTGACGTAACCAGAACTACCAGTAAGTTGACATAAATAACAACTGAATCAGGTTATGTCTAGCTGAATTACCTATATTAATAATTCATTTGCCACATCCCTAATATAAAAAAAGACATCCCAGGAATGTTCAAAGAATATTTAGTTGGGACAATCAGAATATTCCTGGAATATTCTGTTTAGATCCTGGAACATTCCTGGAACATTCCATCAAAATGGATGTTCTAGGAATGTTCTATTGAATCATTCCTGGAATATCTTCAATCATCCCACATAGTATATTCGGGATATTTGTGGGATATAGGAGGAACATGCACAGAACATCCCACAAATAAACTAGTGGGATATACTTTTGTTTTGATTTATTAATTATAAGTATTACTCAAATTATAAATTGTAAATCAGAGCTGGGAGTAACGACAAAAAATAGTTACTTTACTTTAACGAATTACTAAAAAGTAACGCGTTACTTGGTAACTTCGTTACTTTTCAGATTGATTGATAAGTAACTGTAACGACGTTACTTTTCTGAAGTAACTGCAAATCGTTATTTTGTTAAAGTAACGAGTTACTATGAAAGTAGCGCGTTACTATGAAAATAACGCGTATATATGGAAGTAACGCGTTACTAGTTACCATGAAAGTAATGCATTCTCTCAATTTGTTTATCTTCTTTACAAATAATTGACGATCGACGAAAAGGAAAATAAGTAATCCAAAAACTTTGTATGTCAAATAAAATGTGGGTAGTACAGAAAATTTGTTTTGAAAGCTCAAAATAATCGTTTTTGGTCGTGGCACGCCTCTGCTCTAAAAACACTATATGCAGACACTGGGACGCTTCAAAAAGCAGGTTTGTCCAGAACCAAGTTCTCTATTTAGTCGCTTAATCCTTAATCCGTTTGAATTTTGCAACAAAACTCTTCCACATATTCGGACTCAGAAACTAAAAACATATTGGCATTTCGTAAAGGTCTTATTTGATTATTTGGACTGCTGTGTTGTTAAGTCAAATTAAGGAATAACGCAATTTTCGACGTAAATAGTTATATATGAAGTAACGCATTACTTTAAAAGTAACGCTTTATTTAAAAGTAGCGCTCTATTTTAAACTAACGCGTTGAGGTAACGAGTTACTTTCAAATAACGAGTTACTTTTAAGTAACGAACTACTTCTAAAGTAAAGAAGTTACTTTCAAAGTAAAGAAGTTACAGTAACGCGTTACTTTCCAATATGTAACGAAAATAAAGTTATCATTATTCAAAAGTAACTGTAAATTTTAAGTAACGAGTTATTTTTAAGCAAAAGTAACTGTGAAGTAACGCGTTACTTTTTTCAACTAACGATCCCAGCTCTGTTGTAAATTGACATCCAACACTTGCATCAACAGTTTCCTAGAAAGTTCCATTTTCTGAAGAGTGCTGATACTTTGTCCAGGAAGAACGGTAGAAGGTATCTGATTAAAATCGTCATAGAATCTTAAGTAGCCAAGTAAAATGCCCTCTCGGTCATAGAAACGAGCGTAGAACTAGAGAAAGGATGCTGCCTCGGGTTCTGATGCTCATCTTGTAGATCAGGTTCCGAATGACTTGATTGTTTGTTCCTTTGACAATAATTAGTTGCTCAACAACGTTTTTTTTTTCCTGTAGGATCCATATTCAGCACTGTAAGCACTCTAAAAACTTCCTAAATAAATTACTGAACAGGCTACACGTAGTACTTTAGTACTTACCTAACACAAAAATGCAAAAGGTAACGAAACCTCGAATATTAGAAGAGCCAGTGAAAAATTATGTGGGAAATTCGTGAAAAATCTACGAAAAACCATACAAAAACACGAGCAAACCAAGCACCGAACGTTTTATTGTTCAAACCCGACCACCGACCGATAAAACGATTATTTTGTGTATAAAGCTAGATTTATACAGCAAATAAAAGAAAATAAGATAACATAAGATAAAATAACAAATGCATAGCTAATGCATTTCTTGTTTTATTTGTTATTTTCTGTATAAACACTTTAAAGGTATGTCATGAGATTAACTGTTATTTCTTATTTACTATTTTATCTTATTTTATTTTATTTGCTGTATAAATCCAGCTTAAAACAAAACTAAATTAATAACAAACAACAAAATTTGCTGACTTATTTTTTCAGAGTAAGGTCTGTGATGAATATGAAGTAAGGTGCCGTGGCTTGTGACGTGCGGCTTTCGTGTCACGTACCTATATTATTTTTGTGTAACGATTAAAATATCGCCAATATAAAAAAATATATAACCTATTAATTGTATACCTATACAAACATTATATTAAAATTCGAAAACTTATAAAATTACTAGGTATATTTCATCATATTTATATGGAATAAAATCACGCAAAGAAATCTGACAACGTCGAAAATGGGTATTGTCATTGATCAACACTGGTTGATAGACGGACTGACGAAGCGCAGTTGGTCGTTGGTCTGAATCTGGCAATGGGATTTTTTTTAAAGTTTTTTCTTTTTACATGCTGCTAGCTGAGAATTATAAATAAGAAATCACAAAACAAAGAAAATCAAATTTGAAAAAAAAAAAATATTTTTAAGAAACAGGAATATTTGAGGGATGTTCCTTGAATATTGCATCTTAATATTCCAGTAATATTCTATCTGAAACATTCTGGCAATGTATTATCAAGGTACGGGACATTCATACTTTCATAGTACATTGGTAGGATATCCCAGGAAAATCCTGTGTTATCCGGGATTGGGACAAGTACTGAATTACTCTCTGAAATACCGTAGTGATCACTGTGGCTTACAAAATAGGGACAGAATGTGAATAAACAATAAAATATAGATAGGTTAATTAAAGCTAGTACGATACCAAAATGTTCCAGGTGGTAGTAGAAGATACAATTAACCAGATAACTCCTGGCTACTGGTTGTGGTTAGATGGTCCAACCAATCTTACGGTTTAAATTTACGGTCCGGAAGACTTGTATAACCGTCCAAATAAAAGGCGTAGGCTCTGGTAGCAACAGCCTATCTCGGTTACGATTGAACGTGTATTGTTGAGTACACTGTAACCGTGAGTAAAAAACCCTAAGAGAATTTTTTTATAACACACTGTATTTGTAATTGAACCATAGCTATAGTGAAGCATTTATGAATAGACAGAATTAGAAAATGAAATTATAATTTAACTCCATTGGTCTCAAATAGCAAATTTACTTTATAAAAAAAACTATAGCTCTTGAAAATTATTTTAATAGAAAAATTGAACAATAATGTATTTATGATAATAATTAATTAAATTAGAAGAAATCAGATAATCAGTTTTGTTTAGTTGTTGGATTAAACATTAAGAAATTATTCTATATCTATGTGAATTTCTTCCATATGTATATCCATTGAGCTTTAAACTGCTAGAGGGATCAACAAGCATATTTGTTTGGTTCCATAATGAGATAGCGGGGTCAGAGGGGTGATTCATCCGATAAACAAAACGAAAAAAGGCCCTGTTGCCGAATTTTTTCCTGTTCGAATAATAATCTCGATAATAATGAATATCGTCATCTATCGAAAAGTGTCTATTTCAAATTTGTCTGCTTAAATTAATATTAAAAATATACTTGCGACTTTTTAAGTCTATACTTAAAATAATTCTAAAACAACAATACCTTTTATCACGACTCAATTTGGTTTTAAATGGAACTACGTACCTACTTGTAAAGAAAGATTTTACAGTCTGGCAATGACGTAGTAATTGTTTTGTGTTCTCTCCTTTCTTGTGACAAATCAGCTGAGTGCGTTCGAGAACCTGGTGTGTCGTATAAAAATCACACAGCTGCCGTTCGGAAAGGCGAAGTGTGGAC